AATGAAAGCCCCAAACCAAAAGACAGGGGGGAATAGTCAAATTGGCCTTGTCTCTGTTTTTTTTTGTTGTTGTTGTTATTTTTTAAATAAACCCTTCTAGTTTATTAATACCTAGTTTAATAAAACTCTGATTTAAAGACCTGCATCTTTTATGACATTTCATTTCATTGAACGTCTTTTGTCTCCACGGTTGATGAAATGGGAGCAGAAATTTTTTCCCTATGTGGGTGTTCTCTTTGTGGTGAAGATATGGGGAGGGGTCTTGGCTTGGTGAACAGTTAACATTTTGGTAACATCCAGGTCATCGTGAAATGTGATTCAGCTGGGTATCTTTAAGTCTGGAATTCATGTCTCTGGTTGAATTCTGCCCAAGAGATTTGCCTTTGGCCAGCTCATGCTGCTGAATTGTGCCAGGGGCAAGATTGAACAGTGCTGTATCAAGTCCAGGCCTGCCATGAAGTCTGGGTTTATAGGACTCCCATCTTACACACAGTGCTCTTGTAGTCTTCCTCTTTTCAAAGAGTTGCAGCTCACGCATCTTATGTTGAGAGTGCTGCTGTGCCTTCCACTGTCCTCCAACTTTGGGGGCTAGTTGGCCTTTTGGTTTTGGTGAACGCTGCTTTATCATTAAGCTCCCAGGCATTTTCCACAGTTTCCATGAGTTGTGGGCGCTCTGTGCTGTATTTGTCCTATGGGCCGTTCCCCACTCATACTTGTCCTGGCTTTGTGTGCTGTAGCTCCTCCTGTCACTGTCTGCTGTAAGTTCAACTTCATCCGTAAAAAGAATGTCTCAGATTAGATGAAACATGGCTGTGTGGTTATGGTTTGTGGGATGGATTCTGCTGTTCCGTTTTGTGTTCTGCATATGGAATTCTATCTCATTTTCCTGGTTCTAAGTGTGGCCAGCTGACCCTGCAGTCAGGTTGAGGCCCTCGGAGTTCACAGAGACTTCATAGAGGAGCTACTTTGGACTTGGGGACAGCTGTCAAGATGTCTCTGTCGAGAAGGAAGTTGAAAACCAATAAGCCTCTGTCAAAGATAGCCAGCAGTGTTAACTGGGGAGAGCAAATTGGGTCAGGGTGAGTGAGGGTTTGGGGTTAAAGTCATCTCCAAAAGATTGGACACCTGGGCCCTAAAATCCATTTGCCTGAGATTAAAGGCCGAACAGGAGAGCTGAGCCTGTCTGAGCTAGATTTCCAGGACAGCTTTAACTGCATTTGGCCTTAAGTCATCTGCCCCTGTAAATTCTTACAAACGAATTACTTAGCAAACCAGTTTTTCTCCCATCCTCCGCCTGCTTCCCTAGTGGCAGTTCTAAGCTCTCACCCCTGTTTCCAGGTTTGTACCGAACCCCACACCCTGGCCCCCTTCCCCTCAGAGGAGGCTTCCTCTGATCTTACCTGCTCTCATTCCAGATAGATATTTAACTCTACAGCTGCATCTTCTCTTCCTTCCAGTATCAGAGGACTAGTACTTCTCTTCGCTTCTTACTCTTGTGCTTTGCTCTTGGGTGTCTCTGTTGCCCTCAACCAATATTTTTTCCCCTTTGTGGCCTCAGTCCACGAACATACAGAGCTCCTCCCTTTCTCATAAAACTTGTAGTTTTAAAATAATTATTGTAGTTTTAAATAAATTAATTATTGTAGTTTTAAATAAAATAATTATTGTAGTTTTAAAATAATTATTTATAAAATAATAAAAAGATTTAAATAGTTGTGAGAATAGTATAAAGAACTCCCCTTTGCCCAGACTGACTAATATGGTGAACATTTTGCCGCATTTGCTTTATCATCGTATGCATTTGTTGAACCATCTGGGAATAAATTACAGATATTGTGTCCCTTTACCTTTAAATACCCAAGTGCGTATTTCCTAAGACCAAGGATGTTCTCTTGTATAACCACAGAACAGTTGTCAAAAGCAGGAAACAACATTAATTCAATATTATCTAAGAACGTAGTCATGTTTAAATTTTGCCGATGGTCCTAATAAAGGCCCTTAGACCTTTTCCCCACCCAGCCTAGGATCCAGTTCAGAATCACGCATTGCCTTTAGTTGTTAGCTCTCTCAGTCACCTTCAATCTGGAACAGCTCCTTAGGCTTTGTTCTTCATGACACAGATTTTAAGAGTAAAACCCAGTCACTTTGTAGAATGTCCTGCAGTTTGGGGTTGTCAGGTTACGTATGTTTGTGGAGGGTACCGCGGAAGTGGTGATCTTGAGACCAGCGCGGCAGGAGGCAGGGCCTTCGGCTCCCTCATCAGTGATGTTAACTTTAATCACATGTTAACCAGGACTTCAAAGCAAAACAAAGTATACTTGATTTCTGTACACAGAGCAGTGCTTTGCTGCTTACTATCATTGTGGTGATACACGTGCCTCGTGTTAGTGCACCTTTTTGTATTCCTTTGTTCTTGGCCTACCTTTTTTTGCCACGTTGGCCCCCAACTCCCCATAATCCACATGTACTCATAATTTTGTATGTACTGACAGTACAGTACCCCCTTAGACCCAGGCAAGAAGGGCCTCTGCCCCGGGCTGAGCTTTAGGGCATCCCACTCTGTCCCTCCTCTGGCCATGTCCTGGTCCACCAGATGAGGTAGGTTCAAGGGGCTAAGCGGATGGCCACTCAGGCCCCACCGGTGTGCTGCCCGCTCCCCCCACCCCCTGTCCCCTGCTCTAAGTACTGGAATTCCCCACCCAAATCACTTCGAAGCTGATTCCAGAGTCTTTGTAGGCCTATTCCTCAGAGCGTCATTTTTGAGGGCAGCCTTGCCAAGGCTTGCAGTGACCATGGAGCAGTGGAAGCATGGGGGAGATGCAGCCTGGGTGTATGGGATGGGGTGTCCGTCCACATGCCACCATCCACAAACCCCCTCAGCAGGATGGAGAGGACATGGGGTTGGGCAGAGGGCTTGGAGGCCACACTGCCAAATTCTGTCAGTGAGCTGAGGAATTCAAGAGTTCTAAATTTGAACCTGGCCTTCCAGCTTGTTATGAAAGTGTATTTGTGAAGGTAGAATAGAATGTACTTTATTTAGCAGTGTAATAATTTATAAACCTTTTAAATAACTAGACTTGCTATGTGGACCAATATTTGTTCTTTTGCTCTTGGCCCCATAATTATTAAGGGTAGTCCCACTTACAGATGTGTGTATGTGTACACACGTACTTTTATGTATAAGCATGTACCTGTTTGTCATTCTTGTATAAATATTGGCATCATTCTGTGCACTCTTTTTGTATCTCATGGAAATCCCTCCTAGTTGTCTGCCGAAGGTCAGATTCATCCTTTTGATTCCTTGGGTAACGTCCTGAGTGCAGGTGTACTGATTTATTCAGCCATTCCTCTACTGATAGTCATTCACTTTATTTTTTGCTGCTCTGAACGATGTTGCAGCAACGACTTTTTTTTTTTGCTGCACTGCATGGCTTGCAGTATCTTAGTTCCCCGACCAGGGATCGAGCCCGGGCCCCAGCAGTAAAAGTGCCAAGTCCTAACCACTGGACCGCCAGGGAATTCCCAGCAACCACTCTTGTACAACGGTCTTTCACAGATGAGCAAATTGCTACCCACCATTCACTCCCTTGAAATAAATCTTAAAGATTGGTATGAACCTTTTTTGAATTAAAAAAGAAATAGAGAAATGCATGATTTTAGACTATAGAAATTCTCTGTAATCTCACCTGCCAGAAATAACTGACATTACATTTGGAGTTCATTTTTCCAGGCTCTCTTTGCATGCGGGTGGCAACATATACAGGTATATATTCTGAACAGAAATGGACCTATGAATACACCTCTGCAACTTTCTCACTGGTGATCTTTCATCGCCCGTGTTCAGTGGCCTTCATTTCTTATCATCTTGGCTCACTCTGGAGCATCCCAATCTTCCTGGTTGACTCATCCTGTCTTTTGTGTGTTTCCCCTCCTCTCTCTATGCCCTAAATGTAGCCACTCAAGTTTCAGTCCCCATATTTCTAGGTATTTGTTTTTTATTTCTAATTGGACAGCCCAGCATCACATGCATTAAGCCACTTTCCCTCATTGCTCCCTTTTCTGGAAATGTTTCTGGCATTTCCCTCAGTTACCCTGGTTCCTAGCTTCCAAGTCTCCTTTCCTTCGGCTCTTCTCTCTCCTTTGGTCCTTATAGCTGAGCTGTCGCCAAGACACGGTTAGGTTAGGACACCATGGGCCAGTCTTCCTCCTCCTCTCTCCCTCCCTCTTATGCGGATGAGTTTTCATAGTTGCCTTCATGGAAGTTTCCATGCCATCCCAGAGTGCCCTCTTGCTTCCTGCTGGTGACACTTGCTGATGAGGTGGGTTGACACTCCAGTAATCCTGACACAATGCTGTCTTCCATCATCTGTGGAGGTGCCACTGACCCAGTGGAAATGTGCCCTTTGTATTCTCATAGCAGAGCTCCATGGAATGGACCCCTCCTCCACACTCACACCTGACCCCGTGCTGCGTGAGGAGAAGTCCTGCCTCCAGGGGCACTGAGGGCGGGTGGGTGCACACAGTGGAGAGTCAGGGGCCCATCTTGCCCCACCTTTGGTGCATGTGTTTGACCCTTTGGAAATGTGCTTGCCCCAGACCTTATTTCCCTAATCTGTGAATTATAGTTGGACCCCCCACATGGCCTCCTAAGCCTTTTCTAATTCTGAAGAAAGGGTGACTCCCTTTAGGAAGCCTCTGGCATTAAGCCAGGAGTATAGTAACTTGAGAAGCCTCGGGGCCTCAGGACAACTCTTTCCCATCAGAGGAAAGAAGGCTCACAGGTATAATAAGCTCTAGAAAAACTCCCTGTTGGAGGATCCCCTATGAGAAGAGGGGTGCTCATCAAATACGGGCTGGGGATCCATGGGCACAGGGCAGCCATCCTCTCCCTTGACCTTGACTTTTTTCCCACCCTCCTGTGTCTCAGCTAGGTCAGCCTCCCACATGGTCCTTACAAAGACTGGAGTTAAAGCAACTGTGATTCCCTATTCTAGGTCAAGACCAATGTCTTCTGAGGACTTCAGAGAGAGCTCTTTATCTCAAAAGGTAAGAAAGCCATCAGAATTGATAACGGGAGGGGGTGTTCCAGAGCCACCAGACATCACTCATGGGCATTCAAGTCTGTCGGTTATCAGGTTATCAGCCTCTGCACGGGGAGTTGCAAGCTGAGATATTTACAAAGTAACAAGTCTACTGCAGTAGGCTGGTTTTCCCTTTTAAAGCATTGTGTGGGCCAAATGCAATAAAACCGAGGCCACCAATTTGCAGTCTCTACATGGACTGTACTTAATTTTGTCCAGCTAAGTTGTGATAATGGTGGGGTGGGCTGTACAAAGTATTATGAAGCCAGATGAGTATTTAGTGTCCATTATGTGCTTGGGGCTGGGGAAAATAGAATTAGTATAGATTAAACCAAGATAATTTTAAAATGCCCTGGCCTTCAAAGAGCTCACTATGAGATGGGGAGTAATAACAGGAGTTCTCATTGATTGTGTAATACAATTTGTTGGGGCTTCGCACGTGTTCAGGTGTCATTTTATCTCACCACAACCCTTCAAGGTGGGTACTGGGGAGAGATTTTGCAGGTAAGGAAACTGATGGCTCCGAGAAGTGATGTGATATGCCCATGATAAATTAGCTGGGAGCAGGCAGCCAGGCAGAATTCTAGCCCAGAGAGCTCTGGGACTCTACAGCCGTGTGCTTCCCATCACACCTTGCTGTCACACATATGGATAGACATGCACAGGTGTCAAGCATGCATGGCAGGTAGGAGCAAAGAGTTTGGAAGCACAGAGGTGGCAATGATGACTCTCACCTGAAAGTTATTGAAAAGCTCCTTGGAGGAGGTGTCATTTGAGCCAGAGTTTGAAGCATGGGTAGGAGTTCATCTCTGGGGATGATGGTCTTTGTTGCATAGAGGGAAAGACGTGAGGAGAAGTGGAATGCTATCTGTGTGTGTGGGTGGTGGAGAGCAGTTGGCGTGCCTGGACCGTGGTGTGTGCGTTACAACTGGAAAGACAGGTCAGGGCTACATTGCAAAGGGCTTTGAGTGCTACACTCAGGAGTTGGGGATGATGGGAGTAGCCTGGAAAGTGTCAGCTGGGGTCGAGTCATGATCAGATTTGCCTTCCAGAAAGATAATTGGTGCGAGTGTTTTGGGAGGTGGATTTGAAGGGAAGACCAAATTCTGGTCCCAGTTGGGGAAGGCCATTGTACTTGTCCCAGCAAAAGGCTAGGGTTTAGGGTGGGGCAGGGATGTGGGAGAGGAGGGTTTAGATATAGGAGATGGATCATAGTAAGAATCAATAGGAAGGACAGTAAGAATGCAAGGGAGGCAGAGGGAAGAACCAAAGATGGTGGTGGGATTTCTAACCTCGGGGCCTGCGTGGCCGGTGAGAGCATTAACTAGCTCATCTGTTGGGCTCCATGAAGGCAGGCCTCCACTCTGTTCGATGGTGTGTCCGCAGTGCCTGGCACTCAACGAATGTGCCTAGACCCTGAGGGAATGAGGGAAAGTTCACAGTTTGAGGGGCACTGCGTTTGGTGCGGCTGGGGCGGGGAGGGTGAGTAGTCCAAACTCCACCTTGTCTTTTGACTTTCTGAACCGAAGCCTCCTTCACTGCCCAAGGCCCAAAGCAGTGCATTTCAGTGGGCAACACCCAATGGTTATCACATAGTCCACACCTGGAGTCTTTTGGGGGAGGTGGCCTTTGATGACCTGAGTCTTCAGGAACCTGCAACACTCTGCTAAGGGTCAAAATGAGTCACGTGTAGGGGCGGCAGAGGGGAAGCTTTGTTGAGGGCTGGGGGGATGGGGAAGGCTGGGTGGAGAATGCGGGAAGGTGAGCAGGAGGTGGCGGAAGCCAAGAGCCCCCGATGGAGGGGACTGCGTGAGCTTGGCTGTCGTACACAGGTGATCTGACCTGATCCAGGGTGTCTGGGCTGGTCAGCACAGAATCACATTGGCTGGAGAAGATGGAGCTGGATTCCTTGGGGTCTTGAGTTCTGACCACTGAAGATTTGAAACTATATAGTTACTCAGCTGAAGCACCTTGTCGAGTCCTGTGATGTGTGAGGTGGGACCTTGGCTGTGTCTGCTAACCTCGCTGAGCCTCAGTCGTGGCATCTGTAAAAGGGGAACAGTAGTTAACTCCCCAGAGTCAGGAGAAGCGGTCTAGATCTTCCTTGGGCTTCCTAGGCCTAAAAGTGGTTAAAGACTTAACTTGTTTGCATCAGTAAGTAACACACCACAACACTACCTACCCCAAAGGTGTGTGCTCTTTCAATAAGATGTGCTGAAACTGTTCAGCTCAGGAAATCACCCCTCTCAGGGCCTGGTTCCTGTAGTCATCTGTGTTCCAGGTGTCCTCTGCAGGTGGGTCCCAGAAGAGCAAGGAGGTTCTCAGCTCCCCGACACCATCCGTCTCCCTTAGCCAGGCATCCGACTTCCAACACGAGTCTCAGCTGTTCACTGAGCCACACCTGGCCCAGATGGAGAAAACCTTTCAAGATGAGGTCGACTTGACTGGAGGTGAGGCTACATCATGGGCTCAGCCTCTGGCTTCTGCACAGGGAGGGACCCAGGACCTGGTGTAGGTGAAGGGTGCAGACTTGACAAGCGTTTTTATATCCAGTATCTCCTTTAAAACTTTTCATTGTTATACTGTGTGGGTATTGTAAGCCTACTAGAGGCTATTTGGGACCGAGGAAAAAAATACCCCTAATCCAAACACTTGGGTAACCCCTATCAGCATTTCAGTATGTTTTCTTCCAAACAGTTTCATATGTATGCTTCATTTTCTATTGCTGTGTAGCAATATTCCCACAAAATTAGTGGCTTAAACCAGTACATGTTTATTATCTCACCATTTCAGTTGGTCAGGAGTCTGGGCACAGCTTAGCTGGCTTCCCTGCTTAGGGTCTCACTAGGCTGCAGCCAAGGTGTCAACTGGGGTTGCAGTATCATCTGGGGCTTGACTGGGAAGGATCCACTTTTTTTTTGCTGCGTCGGGTCTTAGTTGCAGCAGGCAGGCCCTTCGTTGTGGCGCACGGGCTCCAGAGCGCATGGGCTCTGTAGTTTGCAGCACGTGGGCTCTCCAGCTGAGGCACAAGGGCTCAGTAGTTGCAGTGCATGGGCTCAGTTGCCCCTTGGCATGTGGGATCTTAGTTCCCCGACCAGGGATTGAACCCGCGTCCACTGCATTGGAAGGCGGATTCTTAACCACTGGACCACCAGGGAAGTCCCGGAGGGATCCACTTCTAAGTTCACCAGGTTGTTGGCAGAATTCATCTCCTTGAAGCTGCAGGACTGAGGGCTCTTGTTTCTTCCTGGCTATTGAAGGGCCACTGTTTTCAGCTCCTAGAGCCGCCCAGTTCCTGGCCCTGTGGGACTCACCAATACGGCTGATTTCAAGACTCAAGTCAGGCAGGAAGATAGCAACTCCAGCACGATGTGTGCTACAATCTCATAATCATGCACACACAGTCCCGTATATCCTGTCACCTTTGCCGTATTCTGTTGGTCAGGAGCAAGTCACAGGTTCTGCCACACTCAAAGGGAAGGGATCACAGGAGGGCATGAACGCCAGGAGGTGGCCATCTGGGGCCACCGTCAGCCTCTCTGCCCCAGATGCCTATGTGTGTTTTCGCATGTCTGTAATTGTACTTTATGTAATTTCAGACCCTTCTTTTTCTCTTAATGTTAATTCCTTAAGGGTTTTTCATACTTTATGTGGTTTTCTGGATCATCATTAGCAGTGAATGCAAGTGCTCTACTGGTTGACTAAGCCATTTCCCTAAATGAAACATTTAGCTTTTACTGAGTTTAAATAACATTGTGAAGAACATCCTTTGTGCATCGAACTTTTTTTCTCTTTAGAGCTTGATTTATGCCCTTGGGAAGATACACATAAAGTTAAATTATTATTCCTATTGGAATACTTAAAGTCATCTTTATTTCTGTCCACTAGACTCTGAGCGCCAGTGCTGGGGCCATGTCTGCTTGCCCCATCAATTTGAGGTTTACAGCCACACCGTGTTTTGGCAGGAAAGGGTAACAAATGGTCAGTTTAAAAAGAGCAAAGTGAGGTGGGGGAGGAATAATTTGTGTCTGACCTGAAGCTGAGATTGTCCCTAATCAGAGTTCTTCGGGTGTCAGTATTTGGTGGCCAGGAGGTGCCACCACTGTGTCTTAGAGGACCGGACAGCCCCAGCTTTAGCTACAGTTTTTACTCTGTTTGTCTTTTGTTTTGAACAGGTGATATAGGCACACAGTTCAAAATTCAAAAGGTGCCATTATCTCTCCCTCTTTTCGAAGCAGGCCACCGTGCAGTATTTTTACAATGCTGCATTACAAACGTTTTCCAAAAAAAAAAAAATTCAAAAGGCACTTTTCTCATGATACCTTTTCTTGGTATACAGAGAAAATGTCTCCCTGGGTCAGACTGTGCTGCTCCGTCCAGCATGCAGTCCCTGCAGGCGTTACTGCCTTCCGTTTCCTGTAACCTTCAGAAGCACACAGTGCCTGTAGTTGCTTCCCCCTCCTTTTCATATACACTACTGTCTACACTGCTCTACTCCTTGCTTTTTTTTCCTCCAGCTTTATTAAGGTATAATTGACAAATAAAATTGTAATGTATTTAAAGTGTGCAAAGTGATGATTTGATATCCATATACATTGTGAAGGATCTGCACAATTGTCTACTCCTTGCTTTTTTAAAAAGTAATTTTTATCTAGTTTCCCTTCTTGAATATGTCTTGACCTAATATGTCTTGAAATCTTTTCCTATCAGTGTAAAAAGAGCTTCCTCATTTTAAAAAACAAAACAGAAAACTGGCCGTGGTTTTAAATGGAGGAAGGGAAAATTCACTCTTAGCTGATGGAGGGTAAAGGAAAATAGGACCCTTTTTCAGAAGCCTTTAAAAGAGGTGAATTCTGAGCATGGGCTTGAAACCGTTTCTCGGGAGCCCTGGCCATTTGTGCTTGCCTCGGAGGGAAGAGGGGAGATACATGGTTCTCTTCCCTGTTCTGCAAGTTCCCTTTTTGGGCTGCAGTGGTTTTGCTGGTCTTGAAAGTGTCCACGTACCCCTGGCCCACTGCCCAGTGGGGCCTGCCTGGGGGAGGCTGCAGGCTGCTCAGGGCTTGTAGGAGAACCACCGGGCTAGGGGGCCCTGCAGCTCGGCCTGCAGGCAGGGGGAGCTTACCTTCTGCTCAGGTGCTCCTGGGTGGACATGGGTGGCACACAGTCTGAGTGCCACCCACCCTTTATGCCAACAGATATTTTACCAAGCTCTGCCGGGCCTTATGGTTTATATAGGCCTCTGCTGGATTTTATTCAGTTCTCCCAGAAGCCCTGCAGCAGGGGTCCTGACTGTCCACGGGAGGCACCTGGGGGCTCTGCGCAGACAGGCATCAACCACAGGCCCCGACAGAGTGGCCAGTCCTGTGGCACCAAAGCCTGTGCCTTCTCGGGCACCCCCACCGTGTGGAGCACCTCAGATGCTAAAATAGATGAAAGAAGGCCCCTTCAGTGAGAGCAGGGCTGTGAGTCCAGTGTGCAGCAGCATCCTGTCCTCCATGATCTGTGTGCTGAGAAGGGCAGGCATGCGCTCTGGACAAGCATGGGGAACAGGTACTTATTTCCCCTGGAGGGCAGAGTGGAGGCTAGGAAACAACATTTTTCTTTTCATTTCTTTCTTTTCTTTTTTTCAATTGAAGTATAGTTAATTTGCAGTGTTGTGTTAGTTTCAGGTATACAGCAAAGTGATTCAGTTACACATATATATTATTTTTCAGATTCTTTCCCATGTAAGTTATTATAAAAGAACATTTTTCTTCAGCATTTTTAATTTAGCATTTATTTTTTTAAATGCTTATAAGTATATAAAAAACAGAGATAAATAATCCATTACCCTACCTCTTGGCATTACAAAGAAAGGAAGAGAAAGGGCCGGGGAGCTGGGGGCACTTGGCACTGGAAGAGTACATGGGTAGAAAGTTCAGACAACACAGAGAGGTGTGGGTGCAGCGGGAGCCTCTCCCCCTGCCTCCACCCCTGACTCCTGCCCCACTGTGTTCAGAGGAGGTCATCCTTGACCTGCCTGGAGAGGTGAAGTGGAAGTTTCCCAGGAGAGGGGAACAGGGAGGGTCAAGGCAGGGGCCTGGCATAGGAGAGGTGTTGCTGGGCTAGAGGGCGAGCGCGGCATCCCGGAGCAAGGCTGGGGGGCCAGGTGGCCCTGGGGGGCTGGTGGGTGCCCTCGGGTCACAGGGCCCTGAACTCCGGCAGTGGGGCTGATGGGGAGGTGGCACATCTAGACCTGTTTGAGAAAGGTAAGTGTCATGGTGGCTAGGAGGTCGGGCTGGATGTGGAGCCTGGGGGGTTTGTTGAAAGAGCTCATCGTGTGATGGCCACACATGGGGTCCTGGAGATTATAACAGAGAGGAGAAAGTCTTCTGGTTTCAAATCCCCGCTGCACCTCTGTGTGTCCTTGGGCAAATCCCGCACCTCTTGTGCCTCTTGTGTGCTCATCTGTAAGATGGGGAGAATGACAGTGCACCATTCCAGGACCACAGGACTCACCCCTCAGGTGTTCTTCTTGGGTGACTGGGTGGAGGTGATGCCGTTAGCAGAGATGGTGAACACAGGAAGTGGGAGCAAGTTTCGGGATAAAGATAAGAAATTGGATTTTAAACATGCTGAGTTGAAAGGGCCGGGGGGACACTTGGAAATATTCAGGGACATGGAGAGAAATTCTCTCCTGAGATGTAGAGATGGGTGAATAGATGAGGTCGTTCAAGGAGAGTGTCCAGCAGAAAAGAAAGGGACAGTGATGGGAAGAGCTGAGGCACGTGACGAGCGACAGGACAGAGCAGGTGACGGAGCCTGGGGGAGTCGCAGCAGCCCGGGGAGGCGAGAGTGGCTGGTGCTTGGCTGCCAGAAGGGAGGAGGCCCCGAGGGTGGGGTTCGAGGTCACCGGGGCTAAGAGGAGTGAGCTGGCAGGAGTCAGGGAGCCACCCAGAAAGTCCCTCCTGCCTGATCCTAGGGAATGTAGGGGCCCCCTCCGCAGGGACATATTTTCACTTTTGTGCTTCGAGAGCTGTTAGTGAACCATTTGGTGTGAGGGGTGAGCACTTCCTTTTAGCCGTGATGAGCAGGGGACCTGACTGGCTCCCACAGTGTACATTTCTTTTCCAGGACACCTTTGTGTCTATTCTCTTGTTATACTCAAATTTTTTTCAGTAAACTGTTTTTAAGAAGGATATTAAAATAATACAGCAGTGGACAATATATACAAGTTCTTAAACACCAACGAAAGGGACTCTCCCTGTAGTGTTGTCAAGAGGGGTTTGTTCATTAAACCTGCACAAAGGCCCTTTGACTGCCAGCTCTTTCCCGAGGGGACAGCTCTGTGCTCGGGGACTGTCCCCTGACATCCATCTGATACACGGAGGGGCTGTTACATGTCACTCAAATGTGTTAAGGCTCTTGGCTGTCGCTTCAGATCAGCAGGATGGCTCCTTCTTTAAGCAGGGCAGCTTTCGTTCAGGCTTTCATTTGTTCCTCAGTTTAGCAGTAAATGTTGCTGTAGTGCTGTGCTGGGTGTTGTATGAGGAGCGTGGAATAGGGTGAGAGCGTGACCCCAGATTGCTGGGGATGGTCTGGGTGCCACCACTCACCAGCCGTGTGACCTTGGGCACATGATCCCAACTCTCTGTGCCACAGTTTCCTCCCAGCACCCCCCCCGCCCCCGCCCCCACCCGCCACCATCAGGTGATCAGTAAGAATAAACGCAGATGGTAGTGGTCCCCAGTCATCGTCATCACGTCCCAGTGCCAACAGAAACACTCAGGGAACAAACATGTGTTGCGTGCTGAGGACCCAGTCAGAGAGGGGACAGGCTCAGCCCTGCACTGCCCGAGCTCATGTCCAGGCTGGTAAGGAGGAAGGTTTGGGGGGAAGTAGGAGCCAGGCATGGGGCTGGGCCGCCCCCTTCGAGAGTCCCTGGGAAAGGCTTCCCTGTGGAGGAACCAGACGGTGCAAAGGCCTTGAGGTGGCAGGGTGAGAAATGGTGTGGGGACATGGTGGCTGGAGCAGAGAATGAAGGGGATGGTGGTGAGAGGTGAGGTCTGAGAGGAGCAGCCTTCAGGCCATGGCGAAAGTTCCAGATATTTGGAGGGGGTTCTAGAAGTTCTTTTTAAAGACTGTGATTCTTTTAAAAAAAATCTAGACAGGAGTAATTGATCCATTTGCAGACAGATACCCCTGTAGCCACAAAACCCAGCAGGGGAAGAAATTTTATCCCAGCCCCTCTGCCTCTCCCCTGCCCATCTTTCCCTCCAGCCCAAGTTTGTATTTTCATTGCCTCTAAAAGATGTGTTTCACCTCTTCCTCTATAGCTTTGAATTTATTTATGTCCCTTTGTTGCCATTGTTTACTTATGTTTTTCTTCTTTCTGTATTTATTTATTTATTTTGGAGTTTTCATCAGTTTTCTTTGTCTCAATGCCTGGTCTGTCTGATTTGCTCAGAAATGGGATCTGATCTTTTTTAGTACCCACCCCCGTCACTGCCGTGGGACCAACATGGTGCTTTCACGAGGCAGGTGTGCAGCCAGTATTTTTGGGTGATCGCATGTTGAACAGATGAGATGCAAAAGATGACCCGGCAATGTGATCCTCTGTGTGTTCCCCCTCAGCACCCAGACACCCAAGAACGCTGTGGCTGGTGATGGGGCCGAGGGACTTTTGGTGAAGTGGACGGTGTTCTTCCTTCTCTCTTTTGAAGCCCTGGACATGAAGACTTTCGTTAAGGCTGTGAAGAAGATTCTGAGCAATGCGTCCAACGAGATGATAGAGGCGCTGTTTTTGAAGGTGGACATGAACTGTAACGGCCTCACCTCCGCTGCTTCAGGTGGCTGAAGGGTGCAGTCCTTGGCTGGTCAGTGGGGCACGTGGAGGGCTGAAGAAGGGGGTAGACTCTGGGGGGCTTGCTGAATAGAGGAAACACTTGGAGTCTTTGAGGGGGCCCTCCCGAGACCCCTGTGAGCTGGGCTCACTGCAGCTTGTTCCCCTACCAGGGTACAGGAGGGTATGTGACAAATGCTAGTGACCCCTGCCCGAGACTGGCTGAGCACACAGCAGTGAGTGGCAAGGACCCCCGCCTGCCACGTGGCTCTCCTGCACACCAGCCTCCCATTTGGCTCAGGGGATTCCAGCCGGTGCCACAACCATCTCTTAGCCCTTTATGGTCACTCAGTGGCTGTTAAATCAAAAAATGTCAGGGTTGGGCTTCCCTGGTGGTGCAGTGGCTGAGTCTGCCTGCCGGTGCAGGGCACACGGGTTTGTGCCCCGGTCCAGGAGGATCCCACGTGCCGCGGAGCGGCTAGGCCTGTGGGCCATGGCCGCTGAGCCTGCGTGTCCGGAGCCTGTGCTCCGCAATGGGAGAGGCCACAACAGTGAGAGGCCCGCGTACCGCAAAAAAAAAAAAAGTCAGGGTTTTAGAGCATATTAATAATAATGCTTTTTACCCCTGATTTTAAATGTTCTACAATGAGCATGTACAGCATTTAAGAATGCAAAAGAACACAGTAAAGTACAAAAAACCAGTCTGATGTATTGATGTAGCAGTGCTGACAACGATAACTAGCATTTACACCAGACATTGTGCTAAGCAGTTTATATATTATTATACTTAAACCTCACAGGAATCCTATGGGGTAGGTGCTGGTAATGTACCTCCATTTGACAGATTGGGAAACTGAGGCAAGAGAGGAATAAATTGGGCCAGGGTTACAGAGCTAGTTAGCAGCCGGGCCAATCTTCAGACCCAGGGATTTTGCCTCAAGAGCCCATGTGTTAACAGCTCTGCCATACCTCCCCCTCAGCATAGATGTACATTCTTTTTTTTTTTTTTTTTTTTTTTTTTGGTTC